TGGGCAGGAGAATCAGGGACTAAGTAGCAAAAAGTGAAACTCTTCTATCCATAATTATGACTCATCTGCTCACCAGCCTGTCTAGGATTATGCCATTAGAGTTCAGTCCTTTGGCTTGATATATTTTCTCACAAAATTCTTGAAAGCAATAATAAGTTAATAATTCATCTGTTAATATCTCCCTATTAATTAATATATTCAATTTGCTTTCCTTTGAATAACTGATTACTTGAAGGACAGTAATAGGTGTTTTGAGGAAGATTATTTTAGATTTTTATCCTTTGTCTTCAAGAAGGGAAGGACAATGTATATGTATGTGGGTGGGTAGTAGGGAGTGAGGGTCATAGTCATAGACAAGGATCCTGGGAAACAAAAGGAGATTACTGGGATGTTGGATGCCAAGATTTGAAGAGTTGCACTAGAGAGTAGAATGAGAAGGAGCAGAATGAGGGAAGACATGTGTTTTTATTTCACAATTTTAATATGAGCTGAACTTAATGCTGAGGTAACTCGACTCTTATGATCTTTTTCTTTTTTTGAAAGTTTGCTCTACTTTATTTCTGAGTAAAACCATTGATAGTCCCTTTGTTTTGACTCAAAATATTCCTGAAACTAGAGCATAAAAAATATTTATGGAGCAGTTATGATTTCCCTTAGGAATAGTTCTGAAATTGAATGTTGAATTTCTGACCCAGGACTTAGCATTGGATACATCATAAATATGATCAGCCATGTCTCATGACAATTAAGAAATTACTACACATGCCTATCATATAACATTAAAATTTTAATACCGATTCTATAAAATGGTCATGGATAAACCAAGCACATCTTTTATACAAAGCAATCCAATAAACTATACATTTTGGGGGAACATTAAAAGTGTCATGTTTCATTGACTACTGATCTTCCCACCCTTTGTTTGTCTGAAATCTCTGAGTTACTGAAGACAGTGAGCTGGTGAAAAGCAGCCTGAATGAGTCAATGGAAGATTTGGGAAGTCCAGTTTACCTGAGTCTCACATATGGTCCTTTTCCATACATTCAAATATTCTATGAAACTAAACTCTTTTCGGGGCGCCTGGGTGGCTCAGATGGTTAAGCGTCTGCCTTCGGCCCAGGTCAAGATCCCAGCATCCTGGGATCGAGTCCCACATCGGGCTCCCTGCTCCTTGGGAGCCTGCTTCTCCCTCTGCTTCTCTCTCTCTCTCTGTCTCTCATGAATAAATAAGTAAAATCTTTAAAATATATATATATGTTTAAAAATAAATAAATAAACTCTTTTCTAAAAGTAATATGCTAGCTATAATAAACATTAAGCAACAAATTCAAAATAATCTCTTATGCCACCTTAGAATTTGGAAGAGTTTATGGTATGCTAGACTGTCCTCACTTGGAAGGATGTTAAAGACATTTGAAATGAGAGTTCTTATTTCTTTAGTCTAGCTACACATCTACACATTTAGGGGCTCCTAAATAATTTTCATTTTTTAATTATGAAATAATTTTCATACTTTGTTAATCTGCTAACAATTACCAACAGGTTATTAGCAAAATTTTGTGGAAAAGGAGTTTCAAAACATTTCTCACAGAGTCCTCAAAAAAACAGAGTACCTTGAATGTAGCTTCCTTACCTCTCAAAACAGAGTATATATAAGTGGCAAGCAGGAAGCCTTGTGTTAACTAGGTGATAGCAAATGGGTGAAGTGGCAAAAAGGCAGAGATGGAGAGTGTAGTTTTCTACACAGGAAAAAGGATAGTTGATTTCTGCAAGATTTACATGAAAAGGTTAAAGCTGTGCTTTATTAATACTGAAACACCATTTACAATTTTATTTTTTTACTGATATATAATTAACATATAACACTATTATTTTTAGGTGTATGAAATAATGATTCAATATAAATATTTATTGCAAAATGATCACCACAATAATTCTAATTAACATCCATCACCACACAGCTACAAATTTTTTAAAAAATTATTTAACATTCATCACCTTTTCTTAGGTGTTGATGTCTCTTGCAAACTATTGAATTCAATTTGTAGTAAAGAGATTTAATTTAAAAATTTCACAGACAATGGAAACTACTTACTCTAGGGTGGGTCATCTATTTTTATTAATTATACACCTGCAGTATCCCTCAACTATATTTTTCTTGCCTTCCCCTATTTTGAAAATGAACAAATTTTATTGAAATGATAAATTTAGTAAAACTGGAAAGAATGCTAAGGTTTCCAAATACTACCTTAGTCCTTCTCAAATGTAAGACCTTGAATCTTTAATTTCTTCCTGCCTTAGAAATAAAATATTAAACTGGTAAAATACCTCAGGATATATAATTTTAAAATTATATATATTGTTAAATATATGGCATATAGAAATATAATTATATAATACTATTTAAAAAATGATAAATAAAAGTAAAATAGAACTAACAATGGACCTCACAAGACCAGTAGAAATAGCTCATCTATTACAAGTTCTACCCAAAGGCAATGTTATGTAAATTAAATTTATAGGCCCTGGATAGCTTCCCCAATGTTGGCCTCTCAAAAGCTTTATACTGATATTTTTAAGAAACTAGCAGCATACTTCACCTTGGAAAAGTAATTTTATAAAGACACTGCCATTAGTGATTTTATATACTTCTGCATACTCTTCCTGAATTGGAAATAATGGATAAGTCCAGGTAATAATTTTTGTTCTCTTTCAAATTTTATGACTAAAATATTGAGTTGTGTTTTATGGCCTACATTTATTATATTCTGTAGCGTCAGCCAGCAGCTTTAGGCAAAGAATACCTTTGGATTCTGAAATCAGATGCAAAGGAATCAGATTTTTAAAATGAGTAATCATGTATCCTAGAAGCATAGGATTTTCCAAAGATTCTGAAATACAACTAAATATTGCATACTGTGTAATGTAGGAGTAATAATTTTCCAATCCTCTGTACAATTTCTTCCTTCCTTTCTCTCTCTCTCTTTCTTTTTTCCTTTGTCTGTCTTTCCTTCCCTCCCTCCCTCCCTTCCTTCCTTTTCAGTTAAGGTAATTTTCTCTCCTATTATGGGCCAGGATTGTTGCTATAAAACTTCATTTCCAGAGTAGTTTTGGTAGTACTTTTGGAAGAAGTGTTTATTTAGCAAATTGTACACTGATAATACTAAGGACTTTTTATAAGGAATTTTAACAAGGTTGCAGGAATTACCCAGTCTCAATTTTTAGAAGTAAAACTGAACGAGGGAAATTTAAACAGTGGTAGATTGAATAATGAGTAAGGCTATATAATATCTGTATGACAGAACAAAATTCTAAAACTTCCTTAAATAATTTTCTTTTTAAACCAGGTTCTCATTTTAACGGAGCAGACACAGTTTGTTAATATCATTTGTTTAAAAAGAATGAGAACTTGGCTTCCACAGGAGAAAGAGATAAAAACAGCAGGATTCTAACCTAGATCTACTGCTGAACTCCTTTCTGCATGTGGAATGTAGGTCCTAGAGCTATCACAGTCCCTTTAATAAACTTTAGTTTCTTTACCAAACTGTGAGGCTAATACTTAATCTGGGTGTGATAAGTGAGATAGTGTATTTGTAAATGAAAGCATTTTGAACAATATAATTATTGTTATATTGTAAGTTATTGTTTATTAGGGAAAAGCAGATGCCAGGCAAACTTAGTTTTCATGGTAGTATAAATGTCATAGGCTTGCTAGGTTGTAATGAGGTTTATTTTATGGTTTAGCATTCTCTAATTTCAGAGTCTACCTAAAAAAGTTCTGCACCAGAGACCACCTTTATGTTTAATTGGCTATGCAGATCTACCCTCATTTTGAGCACCCATTGGCTATTATTGTGATAACTAAAGTCTGGTTAGAATATCATAAAAATTATGCAGCATAAAATAAATTCCATGACATTTCTGAGGCATTTGAGAAATAATTTACTTTCTTAGATGTCAGGTCAAGAGCAGAAACAAAATGATCATTTATGCCTAACCTCAATTTTTCCCCCTCAAGTACATAAAAAGAACAAAAGCACTGTTTTCTTTGAATTTGATTTTCTTTGAAGAGGTTTGTGGTTATTAAGTTTTACTTTGTTTTACATAGGGAACCTTTGTTGGCCTTTAAAATGTAATTTAGCAATGTAACTGATGTACAATCCAGCAAATACATATGACAAAATGTATGCATACTTATTTCAGCCTCTGAGATTTGTTTTTAAATTACTCTGTTTGGAGCCCGGGGAAGAATATGAGATCATTTCTTTCCCCTCTGCCAAAGGCAAGCTGATTTCCCCAACCCACATGGACAGTTGAGCAGTAAGTCTACCGTGTTAGCGTGGCTGACTCTCCCGACTCGCGTCCTGCCATCAGTGAGCACACACGCATTCACGCTAGCACGCGGGATGGGGCAAGAGTCCATTGGCAAAAGACATCGCCGGTTCGGCTACGCAGCTTATGCTGACTGTGTAGCTATGCTACGTGTCTGCCGCATCTGCCCAGTGGCTGGGGTAAGAAAGAGAGAAAGGGTATTTGCTAGAGTGTAAGCAGTTGCTCCCACCCACTCTCTCCCACTTATATACACTGTACTCCTCTCCCCACGTGCATTCCGAGTGCTGGGTCACGCACACACTCACTTGCACTCACACACGTGCGCACCGTAGCTCGCCCAGCCGCAAGCCGGGACACGTCGCCCGGGCACCCCAACCTCCCCGCCCCGGCTTGGCGACCTCTCCCCATCCACCCGCGCTCCACGTGGGCGCACCCCGGCGCCAGGCGGCCGCTCTGCCCACGGAGCCCCCCGCGGGCCCCCGCGGTGGGAGGGAAGGCGCGGCCCGGGGTCGGACGGACAAAGCGGGCGTCCAATCGAGCTCCGCACTGCCTCCCCGAAGGGAGGGAGCGGCGGCTCGGACGGGCCCAATGAGCGGGGAGCCCGAGTGGGACTTCCTCCCGGAATCCCGTTGGCCAGAATAGCGGGGCCGTGGGTGACACGTAAGTTGGGTGGGAGGCGGCGGCGGCCGAGGTTCGGCAGCCCCGTCAGTGACACCGGCCCGCCGTCCCCCAAACCCCGCCGGGCCCGTCGGCCCCCGCCCATCCACCTACCCCCGCAAGCCGCGCACGGAGGCGCCGCCGGGAGCCGGGTCCCTTTGTTGGGCGCGCACCCCCTCCTTTTGGTGGCAACAAAGTCGCGCAGTGGGGAGCCGCCGCGAGGGGGCGGGGAGCGGCCGGGGCGGGACTCCGAGCGCCGCCGGGGGCAGCCGAGCCAAAAAGTGGGGAGGAGGAAAAAAGGCAGGCGGCGTCTGGGGACCGGCGCGGGCACAGCCCGCTCGGAAGTATGCGGAGGGCCCACTCTCGGGCCCGTGCACTCGCGGAGAGCCAGCCTCGCAAAAGTTTGGCGGCCGCTGCCCAGGCGGCGTCGATGGCTGTGCGCCCCGCGGCGCGCGGGGGCTGAGCGGGCGCCACTTCCCCTCGGGCCCCGCTTTTGTGTCTCGCGTCTTCTCCTCATGCTGCGCCCGGCCACCTCCTGCGGCGGCCGCTGCTGAGGCGCTGCGCTCGGGCAGAGGGGAGGAAGGGACGGCGGCGGCGGGGGCGGCCGCGGCGCGGGGTCCAGGCGGGACTATGGGAAACGGGATGTGCTCCCGAAAGCAAAAGCGGATTTTCCAGACGCTGCTGCTGCTGACCGTGGTGTTCGGCTTTCTCTACGGCGCGATGCTCTACTACGAGCTGCAGACGCAGCTGCGGAAAGCCGAGGCGGTGGCGCTCAAGTACCAGCAGCACCAGGAGTCCCTTTCCGCCCAGTTACAAGGTACGGTTAACGGGACGCGCGCGGCCGGTGGCCAACTTCGCCCCGCGCCTCCCGCCCCGGCTGGAAAAGTGGCATTGGTGAAACGCTGGCACTGCGGGTGCCACTTGTGACCATCACCGACATCAGAGGCGAGCCCTGCAGGGCCGCCGGGTCCCCGAAGTGTCAGGGGAGATGACATCCCCACCTCCCACTTCCTCCGGCGGTTACGTTTGAAATGGGTAGCACCAGCGGCCGGTCGCGCCGGGCGTTGGATGGGACGGTGCCCACTGAGCGCTTTACCCCAGCACTTGTCAGTGGCCCAGCTGTAGTCTGGGCAGGCCGACCAGTAGCCCTTCCTCCGTTTCTGCCAGCCCATCCCGGGGTGGGGCGGGGGGCATGGTCTCCGTTGCTGGGTATTCGCTTTGAGTTGACTTTGTCAGTAGCATAAGAAATGGAGATTGGCCGCGATTATTCAAACTATGCTGTTTTTTCAAGGGAAATTTAGCCATGACCTAGCTGCCCAAACCATGGCCCAATCGAATGGAACCTAGACCTGCTAGTTTCTGTTAACTTAATAGGGTGACTTTAGCGATGTTGGAAGTGTTGGAAAAGCCCACACTACTACTGTTCACCATCCTGCAGGTATGTTTTTTTGGGGAAAAAAAAGTTTGTCTTCCTGAGTAACTTTTAGTTTATCGCAGAGGTAAGGGTGTCTGTGTGTTGTGTATTTTACAGTTAGCCTTGAGAAGTCCAAGGGGAGAAACACAGTTTTTCATTCTATCAGATACAGTGAACACAACTTGAGCAAGACCTGCAGAAAGATTTAAAATTCCTATCCTTCTATTTTAGAATCTCATTTAATGTAAATTTCAGAAACATAAATGATGCAGGACTGCAAACTAAGCACCATGTGGTCTTAAGAGCATAGTCATCCTATACATATTTTTTTGAAAGCTTTTACTTGTACTTGTGTCTAGTTTTCAGCAGTCATGCAGTCTTCTCCCCAACCAAAAAAAGTAATACTAGAAAGCTGTGAGTAGTGAAATGTTGACAGTCTTTGCTGATAATGCAAATATAGCTTATTTCATGTTACTGGGAAGATACAAGCTGGATGGATGTTTGTGTCAGGGTATGTGTATACAAATGGAAAACAGATGCCTTTTCGTTGCTTCAGCTATTTTGAGTGTTTTCTAGTAAAAAAAATTAAAATGAGAGAAAATGACATGCGGCTGATTGCTTGGTCTTATTTTCTCTTCCCAACTTAGAAGAAAGGGAAGTATTTTTAGCTTACTGAAGCTGCATAGCCACAGGCAGTGAAAATATGTGAGCTGGGTTTGGTTCAAAAGGAAAACCTGTTTTGATACAGACTTAGGTTAAGAAAGTTTTTCTTTAAACTTGTTGAAATTTACCCATGACTTATTGTTGGTATACAAATTTTGGGTATTTATGTATTTACTTATTTTACTTAGAAGACATTAGTGGTTTCCCTATGAAGTTCAGTACAGTTAGACAAAGGGAAAAATTTGCCATCTAATACTACAAGGGCAGGACTGGATTTTCCCATATGTGGCTGGCAGGGGCGTGTATGGTGGATGATATGAGGTTGGTGCCTTGGTGTCTTAGTTTAGGAGACCCAAGCAAACAGACACGGTCAAGTTCACCAATACATCCTCAGCAGTGCACAGTGCCTGACACTCATGAAGGAATCAATATATATTTATTCAGTCAACAAACGAGCTAGTTATCCTGAACTGTGGTGAGAAGATTAATTCTGCACTCTTTTGTCTGCTTTCTCAGGCTTCACTTCCCTGTTTCTGCTTTTTGAAAAGCAAAACAAAACAAAATAACAACGAAATATTTTGCCCAAGTAGAGCTTCTGCCTCAGCAGCCAATGCTGGAACTGACTGACTGAGGCCCTGATTTCTGAGTCATGGCCTGTATTTGCAGTATTTCATCTTGAAAATCAATCTCAATTTCTTTTCTCCTTTTATTTGCCTTCTTTTGGTGGTGGTAGTGGGGGAGACTGGTGGCAAGTGGTAATAAAAGGCCATTAAAATATACAACATTTGTTTTGTAGCAGGAGATGAAAAAATAGCTAGTTTGAGTGGACCTAACGTCCGTTTCTTAATGTATTTTGCCATTTCCTCTTGAATTGTGCTGCAACAATTATAATACGGTTATGCATGAAGAATTATTTCCTAAGCAGGCTATAGTTTCTTTTTTTAATGGATTCACGATTGACTTCTAGAGCATGTATTTTGTATTTCACATCTGCAGGCCATTTAATGAAGATTTTTCTGATGGTATGCAGCTTTTGCTTCCCTTTTCCAATGACAAATGACACTTTCCTCAGCAGCGCTATGTTGTACCATGTGCATAGATTTGTTTTGAGGGCATTAGGCTCTCCATTCTTAGGAATCGTTTAGTTAAGTGAGATCTCTTGACCTGGGTTGGATTAAGATCAGAGTTAATTATGAGTGGCCTTCTTTAAAAAAAAAAAAAATATGACTCTTGAAATGTTTAAGTAGTTTGGCCCTGTAATTTGAAGGTATACATTTGTTAAGTGAGCATATTTAGGTCATCTTCAGTTTAAGAATGGGTTGTACTCCAGAGATTATTTTGAGAGTAGGTTACGTCTAACTGCACGTGCCTTTTGTAGTAGACCCGTTCCATAAATAGGAGATGGTGAGGGGTGACCTGGGGCAAGTTCCAAGACTAAGCAACGTCCTCTCCAGTAAAAACAAATGTCTGTCTGCCAGCCAGTATGTCTCTTTCCTCCACTATCTCCCGCTTCTGCCGCACATTAATTCTACTGAGTAGTGGGGCAGAGGTTACATATAGGTGGCAGAGGCAGTGGTTACAAACCTTTGACCAGCACAGTGTTTAGTTAACCTCTTAAATTTTTTTTAAAACTGCTTTCAGGTGGGCCATGCCCCACCCTCTGTGTCTATACACAGTGGTTCTTAGCTCTGACTGCCCCTAAGAGTCACGTGGGCAGCTCCCAAACCCAATCACTCACAATCTGTGGGGGTGAAACCCACATGGTGTCTTCCCCAGGTGATTACGATATGCAGCCAAGGTTGAGAATTGCAGCCCTGTAATCTTAAAACGGAGCCACTTCACACATTTACTTTACTTGCTTGGCCGCAAAGACGTCCGAGGGTTTTATTGTTGCTTTTACCCCAGCATGTGATTCAAATTCTAGTTCTGCAACCTTCTGTGTGAACTTGGCCCTCATTTTTCTGATTTAGACGATGGAGATTAGAATGATCTATTTCGTAGGGATAATGTGAGGATAAAATAATGAATACCTATGAAGCTCCTAGCACATACCTGGCACACAGTAGGTACTGCTCATTAAACATCTTTAATGATCTGTTATTATTATCATCATGGTCCCTGTTTGAGGTAAGATAGTTCACATCTTTCTCTTCCCAGGTTTGTCATGGGTAAAAGTTTTAAAACTGACAAAATTTGTTTTTATAATTAGCTACCTCCTCTTATTGTACCTGATTGAACATCAAAGGAAACAGGTAAACGGACATGAATCCAAGTACTTTCCTCTGGAGAAGGGACCTTCATTGACAATTTAAGCTTAAAAAAATAAAGTAGGGTTACTGATTAACTCTCTTCTGTGTCATATCAGATAAGAAGAAGGTGTAACTCCTAGGGTAGGCAATAACCTTGTGTAATAGGATCTGGAATAGAGATAGAACTATTTAAATTTTTTAAAAGTAGGGGCAAATAGCCCCTCATTCCTGAAACACTGTATTACATTTTTGCAGTGCTTTTGGTCCTCCCAGTGATGGCCAGAAACCATTAAGAAAAGGTTTATATAATGTTTCCTACGCTCCTGTTCCAGATAAGTGTATTACAGCTATTTAAAGTAAAAAAAAAGTGGGCGCCTGGGTGGCTCAGTCGGTTAAGCGTCTGCCTTTGGCTCAGGTCATGATCCCAGGGTTCTGAGATAGAGCCACCTGTCAGGCTTTCTGCTCATTGAGGGGGAGGGGGTCTGCTTCTCCCTCTGTCCCTCCCCTGCTCATGCATGTGAGCTCTCTTTAAAAAAAAAAATTAAAAAGTTTGGTGCTTCTAAGGCTCATACTGTTATTTAAGTTAGTTGTCCCTTGCATTGTGTTCTCCTAACACAGGATGGCACGCTAGCCTGAGCGTGAACCTATCACATTGGAACTGGTGACTTCTTTGTTTTTAACCTACCCTGAATCTGCTTAAAAAAGAGTTAAGAGTCTCCTTCAGCTCAGGGCCAGGCTTTCTTTCATCTCCAGCGCGTGGTGCCTGGCATATAGTAGGCGCTCAGTAGAGAGTAGGTCTATAGCTTTGTGGTATTCTCTGCTTATGAATGTGCTTCTATACAGTAGGCAGGGAAGTGTAGTGGCTACAGGCTGAGGGGTCAGAATACTTGGGTTTCAAGTCTTGCTGTCTTTTTTTTTTTTTTTTTACCGTCTGTGTGATCTTGGGCAAATTACTTCTCTGTGACCCACTTTTATCATACGTAATAATCAGAATAATAATGCTTATAATAGGTTGTCATGAGGATCAATCATGTTACCCGGCATACAGTGCTTGGAATTATAAGGCTTACATTTTGGACTGTACAACAGAGTGGTTCACAAAACTCAGTGATTTAGACCCAGGAGTGTGGGCTGTATGTGGTTAGGTGTACTCATTTTCAAGTGCAAAGTTAGGCCTTAAAAACATCAACTAGATACTGTTCATTAGATGAACATTTTCATCTAAAAAATAGAATTAAATATTCTTTAACTTCAGTAGTTTTTATTTATATGTAAACCCCTGCCTTAAAATGCACTCCCTGAATAAAAGATGAAAGCTTCTAGGTACTTTGTGAAAATCTGACTCAATTAAGCGTTCTGTTAAATATATATGATTTGCACAAATTTGTAAGATTCTACATATTGTGTCTGCCTTAGTCATCTGTATAAATTGGAACATGCCCATATTGGTTGACCACATAAGAGAATTTCTCATTATTTGTGAGCCTTTAG